CGGCGGGGGCGGCCGCCAGCACGGCCATGGAGGTGGGGGTGGAGGTAGGGGTGGCAGACTGAGAGAGGTTCATGTTGAGGTCAACAGGGGTCGTGACGGAAGCGGTCTGGGTGCTGACTTTAGCCATCTCTAAGCTGCAAACGAAGAGAGGAAGAGGAACAAACAGGTTGGGAGGGTCCAGCCAGGGCGGCGGGGCCGGGAGGAGGAGGAGGAGGAGGAGGAAGGGACGGAGGGACAGCAACCACGAAAGAGCAGGATTAGATCGGTGGACGAGGGGGACAGACGAGAGGGAGGGAGGGGGGGAGAGAGAGAAAAAAAGGGAAAATGAGGGTCAAAGGAGGAACATGTTATGTGTTAAAGAAGAGAATTAACAAAAGGGTTTTTCATGATTCGATGGCGAAAACATTACTGAGACTCTACGGTTCTTTCCAAAAAAAAAAGAAAAAAAAAAAAGGAAAAGAAAAAGACGTTGGGGGGTGTTGCTAGTTCATCTTACAAACGAAAAAAGAAATCTAAGGAATGCAGGTAATGGCAAAAAGATGGAAAAACAAAACTTAAAAGAAAACTTAAAATAACTATGAAGTTTACTCCCCAGCACTGATATGGTGAATTTTGCTTTTCAAAATGATGGTATTTTTGAAAGGGGGACGCGGGGGGTTTTGGTAATTTTTTCAATTTGTCAATTTTGTGGCGGAAATGGTACCTTTCGTCATTTTGCTAGGATGAGAGCAGACAGCAATGATTAGCTGCTTCTATCTAAGGCATAAATTTTTGGTTTTGGTTTTTTTTTTTTTAGAAAGTTAGTTTTTCATTTCATTCATTGTGAGGTGAACGTGCATTTTTCATATAAAACAAACCTGATTAGCCAGTGTGTTCGCTTCAATTTGTACTTTCCCCAGACTTTTTTTTTTTAATCGCAACAAAATATTTATGCAATCTAATTACAAAGAAATTAGGAAAAAGGACGACTGAAAAACACCCCGGCTTCCAGCAGCGGTATCCTTTCTGAGCTTGTGGCAGTGGTTTACAGCAAAGATACAAGAGCTCACCAGCTGACACACAAGGTACTACATGGATACAACACATGCGTCATCAGACGGACCCCGCCAGCAGGAGGAGGTTCAGACTGGCCCGACCTCCGAGCCCACGGCAGTGACGGGCTCTTTGGAGGATGTAGCTACCAAACCGCCCTGGCTTTTGTCTAACAACTCCACCCACCGGCAGGCAAGACGGGCTCGGCCCATGCACTTGGGCTTTTCCGTTACATTTTTACACATTAAAATACAGCAATTCCAAGGACGCGTTGTTTTTTTCAGACGACAAAATGTTTACCTCGAGAAATCCTGCCTTTGCCGCGTGTTTTTTGCAGCTTGTGCGCTGCATTTTGGGTCAGCAAACAACTGAAATAAATACCGATTTCAGGATGCACTTTGCGCGTGACCAGCTGGCAGGTACGGCGGCCCAGCACATGAACGGGACTACGGGTTAGAAAATCTTTGCTAGCTACAGTTACACATGTATTAATTCCAAGTTTGGGGTTTGTTTTTTTTTTTCAGTCCTTACTAACTTGTCAAGCTCCTGGGCTTTCTCCCGAGGCGAGCGGAGGAGCTGCAGCGGCGTCTGCCCGCTGGAGCGGAGTTCCCCGAGCGACTGGCCGGCTGAGCAGAGGACCTGCCGCTTTCTTATCAAGTCCCACCGGGCCCGGGGGAACTGCCCGCCGCGGGCTTCGTGCTGGACCCCCTTGGCATGCAGGGTGAGAGAGCAGCTGTAGCCAGGCTCCTTACCCGGGACGCGGGAGGGCAGCACGGTCGCCCTACTCGGGGCTTGGGAGAGCCTCGCTTTTCTTCACCTTAAGCTTACGTGCAGTTTTAAGAGTTACAGCCCCTGGTCTGTTCGCGGCCGGAGAAAGGCAACGACCAGAAGGCCGGCCCGCTTTGCGCAAGGGCGAGGATGCAAGCGATGAACCGGTGCTGAATAGGGGATGGGGACGTCAGACTAAAGCTTCCCAAAACGCTGCTGCTGGAGGCGAGTCTAAAGGATGCCTGAAGCGGGTCTGAGCCAGGGAGAGGAGAGTGGGGGAGAGAGGGAAATGCTTGAGCACCGAGCTCCTCTCTTCCCCGCAAAAGAAAAGAGGGCTTTTGGAGTCTTAACTCCCCGTCGGCTTTTGCCGGGAAGTTGGAAGGCGCACAGCTTCTCTGAGGGACTGGGAGGGGAGGAGGGCAAGTGCATGAAATACGGACCCATCTGTGGGAGGTGAAGCTCTGGTTTTCCTTCCTTGGGGTGTTTATCTGACCTCATGGATGAGCATATCAGAATTTTTCTAACCCTCGCTGCAGAGCTGTCCTTTGCAGAGAGAAGAGCATCCTCGTGCTGTTAGCAGTGCTACTTGCAATCTACTCACACAGTGGAGTTTACATCAAGAATACTGAACCACTGGGTCCAACTCCAGGGTACCTCCTTGACTTGGGGTGTAGGAGTTAGTTACACGGTGATACCTTAGCAGGTTTTGAAAAACTCAGTTTACACGGATTTTTTTTTTTTTCCTAACTCAGTATTATTTTGGGAGGGAGGCATATAGAAAGATAATGCAGGACTCAGTGATTCTGTGACTCCGAATTTGCCTACCTTGCATTTACCAAAAGCAAAAAACCCCTTACTGATACGGGGGGGTTATGTGAGCCCAAGCGTTTTCCTGCGCCAGCAGGGAGAATGGATCCCACAGGCTAAACGCTGGCGTCGGTAGCAGCCACTCACACTCCCTGTCTCCGGTGTACGCACACAGGTACCATTAACGCTCTGATTTGCCCTGCTTCGCGTTCATTACTGGTGGTGACGCATAGGGTGAACGTACATCAGGTTAGCGAGCAGCTGCCCTGCGAGAGCGGCCGTTTCCCAAACCAACTGTCGATGCAACAAAATGGAACGTGAAAGCGGATGAGGCAGCCTTCGTACAGAATTTCACGGTGCCAATTTTACGCTGTCCCTTCGAGGAACTACACTTTGTGAATATATACACCGAAGGCCGCGTCCTGCGTTACTCACAACTGGTGACAGGAATAAAGCTCGAGCGTGGCTTTGGCGGTTCTTTAGCTCTGTGAACGAACCGCGCATCGAAACGGCAGTAAAACGTGTCTTCAGGAAACTGCTCTTCAACAAGGAGAAAGTGCTGCTGGCTACAATTCATTTACAATCCAAAGTCAAATATTACACGGGAAATCTAAACTGCTGTTCATTCTTAATAAAAGCTAGAAGGTGGAATCGGATAATGAAAATCCAGTTACTACAATGGAGACTGGTTAAGAGACAGAAGATTTTACAGGAACAAAAGACACTTCTACTGCAAACAAACTGGGACATGTTCTACTCGTACAGAGGCCAGCGCTCGGGTGATCAATACAGAACCAATCCAATACTTCAGAAAGATTTAAATCTCTGTCTTGATATTGTATCAGTGTGTTTATATATCTATAATTTGGAGTATATTATGTACACACTCAACACCAGATTGCAATAAGAGTCTTAAAACAACTTGATAAATTATTCTATAGATGGCAACTTTGGTTGGAGGGCAGTTTAAAGATACACAGAGATTGTTTCAGGAATATAGCTGTTTTTTGCTCACATCCTATGCTGCTGTGAGACATTGACTTTTGCAGAAATACTGGCCCTGGAAACCAAATCCACGGGAATGACAGATCTTGTGGGGAGAGAAGAAAAATGTCTGCCTTAGCCTGAATGCTTATATGGCTTTTGTTTATTGTAATTATTATTTTGACATACCAGGCTACATCTTGGGCTGCCTGGGTACAGTACTCAGCTCTTCCCCAACGCTGTTTATTTCATGCCAAGATCTTTAGAAGAACCAGCGGTACTTGTGGCAGGTTTAGGATGCGACAAACACTGAAATTGGCTCCCAGTGTGCACAGGCAGCAGTAGCCTAGAGCTGCCTCTCAAAAACCTGCCCTAGCACCTAACGCCAGCTAAAGCAAACCTCCCTCTTGCCAGAAAGTTTCTCGGTTTTCCCTCCAGTGCGACTGGGAACTAGCACTGCTGCTGCGGTGGCACCTAACTGGACAGGAATTTCTCTTGTGAAAGGAGAAATCTGGAACAGTGTCACTGTTTAAAACGAAAAAGCCACCTTAGTGTCCTATGGTACCTTACAGCTTAATTTATTACACGTTACTTTAAGAGTCTTCATTTACAAATGAAGTCACTTCATCTAAATACAGTTTCAACACATGATACATAATAATATATGATGGTTTATTGTAGATGATGGTAACAAATGACTTCTATCTAGAAATTTAACAGGAAGAAAGCATCTTGTTTCTGGTTTCACAGGGTATAGATAGAGTATCCATGGTATATGACTGCTGAGAAGTTTTCTTCTTTGCAAAAGTATGTTAAAAGACCTCATATATATCCCATTCCATCGAAAGAATCATTAAACAGTAATAAACAGAAGTGTGAGAGTTCACAGGCTTTTCTAAAGTGAGTCACAGAGGTTTGTTCACTAGAGTTTCTGCCTCTGGTGAGCAGCTCACTGCAACTCCGTTAATAAGTACATTATTTTATTTGCATGCTTTAGCTGTCTTGAAGATCTTAATTTGTTATCTTCTGAGATCCAGATGCATGCCATATGGTGTTTGTGCAACTAAAAATGAAGGGGTCTATTCTCGTCTCGTTGTGTGGGGAATCCCTGAACACCAAGAGAAGAACATATCCTTAAGGGTTAAAGGAGGGAACACATTTTTATTTGATTACAGGGCTTATGGAAGTGACTTATATTTGCTACAAAGAATATAAATCAAAAGATCTGTAGGTTGTTTTCAGATTCTGGGAACGGCTTATCTTAGGCTTCATAATGCCACCCCTGAATATAGCTTTCCCTAGGAAACTACTTTCAAACTGAATTATGAAAGGTAATTTTTGTCTGCTGTAACACAGAGCTGCACAAACATCCTTCCCCTCCGTTATGACATTTGCAGTGGGGCACTACAGAACTGGGCTGGACCACAGGAAGCTGTAGACCTACTATGACCACAGCCCTCCATACAAATCACATACTTTCTACTACCCTAAGAGCAAACATAGTTAAACACAAAGCTTGATTCATATCACAGTGGTTTTTTTGGGGGGGAGAAAAGGAAAACAAAAAGCAGCAATAAAATACATAGATACTCCCCCTCCCCACAATATATTGCCTCCGTCTTCCACTTACAAGTAGATCTACGAGACAGCACTATATCCATTGCACGTCCTTCTCAGGATCATCGCGAGTAAAGGTGGTATCAATTTTAATATTTTTCTAAATAATCATATCAAAACTGATAGAGACTTAAGCAGTCGCAATGGTTTAGCTAAACAGCCAGTGCTTTCACTAATTCTGGCAGAGAAGTGGAGAAGGCGATAGTCTCACCCGGTCTCATTAGGGAGTGTTTTTTACAAATTTGTGATGCTGTCTCTGAGAAATAAATCCCGTGCCTCCTTAGCAACCAAATGTCAGTTTAATATCAACTCTGAGTGGCAATTTTCACCTAGTAAATTAAATCTGGTTTGCAATCTGTTTCACTATATTTGCCATTTAGGACAGTAAAATGGGTCCGTGAAAAGTATTGTCTTCTAAAGAATTTATGACTGTAATTTAATTTATCTGCCTATATTTTAGGTGGATGCCAATGTGAATATTCAGGTTTTTGAGCTTTTGTCATTCAGCATGTACCTGGAATTGCACCGGATTAAGCTGCTTTCCATATAAACCAACAGCAAACAGAGGTTCTAATGATACAGGCCTTACAAAACATTAGGAATTGAACAATACTATGCAAAATGAACTCTGCAAAGCAACTTGCTGGATCTATCCAGGACAGACATTTGCTGGAGAGCAGGCAGAGCAATCTCGCAGAAGCATTTATCACTTACAAAGCAAACTTACCTTGCATTAATGAGGTACTGTGCTAAGCTGATGTTTGCAGGGGATCCCGTGATTGTAACTTGTCGTTCTGCGGAGCCTTCTGTGGCATTAGCAATCTTGATCTGCGCTCCTGACATCTGCCTGATTTCATTTATCTTACTGCCTTGTCTGCCAATAATGCAGCCTATTAACTGGAGCGGGACAAAGACTGAGATTAGTGCCACAGACACAAGCAAAACCCACTTAACTGCAATTTGTAGTATCGCTAAAAACATGGTTATGAAAAGCTCAGTATCAAAACAAAAGATTTTTGCTGTGCTGTTTGGAAGGAGTAACTAGCCCAGTCTATTGGCTCTATGGTCATACGTCTCTACATCAAGTTTCGCTGCGACGTGGTTATCAACTCAGTATCAGGTTATTTAGCTGTCATCTTCCGTGGCAGAAAATGACAGCGTGCCGCGGTGCCGACGAATACAAAACACAGCCCAGCCTGACTTGCCAGTGGCAGCAGCAAGCCAGGAGCAGCAGCTGGAAGTCAGGCCGACCACCCAAAGCTGCCGCCGTGCGGCTTTGCACCGTTCCGGTGCAAAATCACGGCGTCTGCTGGTCCTAGACCTCCCTGGGCACACGTGGTCCTCGCTTGGCTACTAAAGTCAGTGGGATTTACAGCTCTGTACCTGCAGGCAGAAGCAGGCGTAGGGAGAGACTGAAATGTGTCTGCGTTCCTTTACAGAAACTTACCAAAACTCGTATTTCGTGAATAAAACTGAGCCTGAGGGGTGGTGGGGGGGGTGTCCCTAGGTCCCCTCAATTATTCGGGTAAAATCGCACCGGTATTCTCTTCAATAAGCAGTGTTTTAAAGGTTGTTTACATGCTCTTGGTGGAGTCACAAGCTTTTGGAAGCTGTGTGCAAGACCTCGAGAAAGCATTTAGCAGCACACGTAACTGCTGCAGCCGGGGCGGGGGAGGCTGGCAGCTGCACCGGGGCATGGCTCCTCCGGCACAGGTAGCCCCCAAAAGCAACTGGGCACCAAGCAGGCAGCTGAAGCCGAGATGTTTTGGCTTCTGTAAGGGTGAGGAGGGGGACGTCTGCTTTGTGTTAAGGAAGGATGGGTGCTAAGTAAGTACTTCAGCAATGCCCCGAACCAGGAGAAAATGGAAACTTCGCTCTGCAGTTACCGTTGACACTGGGATGACGTTACCAGCTTGGCAGAAGGACGTGCCAAGATGCAGGCTGCCTTCCCCTCCCACCTTCCCATTGCTTCAGGCCCTGACGCGCTACCGTCATCTCCGTTACTGTAGTATTTGCAGTATCCTGCCGGAAACAGACTCGCGCTGCCCAGACCGTTTACCAAAAGGACACCTCCCGCCCCGCGCCAGCACCCTTGCTTCGGGCTCAGTGACGAGCAGAAAGCCAAAGCGGGTACCCGAGCGGCTGAAACAGAAGGAGTGCGAGAGAAGGGGTTCCGCCCCCCCCGCCCCGTGGGGGAAGAAGATGGGGTTTCAGGAAACACAGACAGGATTTCCCGTCTGCTCAAACAGGAGGGCTCGCTGAGCTTCTCCGTCCTTATCCCAAGGACCTACGTGTGTGGCTGCGCGCG